GGAAGTGTATTAAAATTTGAAAAAGAAATAGAATGGAGTATGTTATATATGTAGTGTTTATAAATCAATAGTATTTTGAACTTCCTCTATAGTATGTATTTGTATATACATGTAACGATTATATTCATTTCAATTTATTTTATCTAACCATTTGAATTTTTTTCTTGTCGGATATTATTTGTCCTCAGAATCAGTATTTTAGTTAATACTAAATTTTAAAAAAGTTGTACTAGAATACATTTTGAAGGTGTAGACTGTAGCGACAAAGTGAACGGTTCCGTTCTGAGGCAGGCAGAAACAGCTGGTAGGATTTTTGACTTCCAGCTCTAAAAAATGATAAAAAAAAAAATCAAAACGAACTGGAAAAACTGTTATAGTCTATATTTATCTTCATCTTCACCAAAAGGAATCATTTCACAACAAATCATGAAACAATAATGTTTACTTCCATTCCAAAAGTACAATGAGAATAACTGTTTTAAATTTAATTTCGATATGTAGATTTTCAGTTTTCCAGTACAGAATATCAAAGCTTAAACAATGATTTACATGTTTGAACATAACACATGTTATAACACTTTCCAGTAGTCGAGATTGAAGTATTTTTAAATTGTTAAAGTAGCTGTTTCTCTGTGTGTTAACATTTCGACATAATTACAATCCAAACTCCATGTGAGTAATGTCACTTTCCCAACGATACCACAGTAATCAATAAGCGTACCACCAAGTAGATGTTTCCAAGGAAGAATGTAAAAATGTCTCCGTCATTTTCCTCAACTTTCCCCTCTCGAAATCCTATGTTGTAAGTTTGTCCGTCAGCTGCAGACATCGTGCACGAAAATCGGGACAACAGGGATAAGCAAATTAATCTCCTTTTCGTTTGGGAACGTGACATTACTAACGTGGCCACGATTTACAGCGCACGATGAAGAAGAAGACGCATTCCCTTCCGAGACACCTGTTCTTATTCTCCTTCAGCTTTTGCAGTGGTTTTCCTTGCAGGTTTGATAATCGAACTCTGTGATCTGCCTGCTTTCCATGATCGTAAATGGCGATTATATATGAACCAAGTATATAATATGTTGGTCTCTGAAAAGAAAACAAAATATTTTTTTAATGTCTCCATTAACACTGTGTCGCTTTTTACTTGACTAAACCGTTCACCCCTGTCCGGAAGTTTTTTTTTCTGCTCCCTGGCAGAGGCGTACTGTCAGAGACGCTGTGGATCAGTGTAGTAGCAATATAAAACCGCATTATCACAGAAAGTCTTGCACAAACACATGCACCCACCTCCCATAAGCGGAGAGTTCTTCTTCAAATAATTATAATGATATATATTTTCAGTGAACTCCGTGTTTTATCGACTTTCTGTATTGAGTTATTAAGATTATGCTAACAAGCCGATATTTTCTTTGTTTTGACTCTGTTATGCGCTCATATTTTCTTCCTTTTTATATAATCTTTATGGAGACCCTTTCTTTGTGTAGAGCTAAAGGCACTCTTGTGTTGCTATGAATAATACATTAAAATTCAAACGGAACAAGACTCATCATGAGTGTAATCTTTGAAAAAAACAACATACGAACATGCAATTTAAAATAATGAAATATGGTTTTCGATAGCTTTGATCACATCTTTCTAAATTAGACTTGATGTTAGTGATATACGCTGCGTCATCGGAAACTAGAGCATTTAAACAGGAACAGAATTAGAGTTACATTGTCTACTGCAAAGATTACGTAATATTTCATTTGTGTTTTGATAAGAGACCAATGATCGTTTCTTATTGAACAGTCGATATGCTTCGGAGAAATTCTGCACTGAAACATCAGCATCAAAGGGACGAATCTATGGCATCTCAAAAATACAATATTGTAATGCGTTGTTTATGATTTATGTCGAATACAATTCACTCGAGGGCATAGTGATTGATACATATAGAATGTCCCTGTAATACATCTTTCTCCAACATCAAAATTCTCGGACATTTCATGATTGTTGTAAATTCTTCTCATGCAAACTCACACTCTTCTATGCAAACTTTCTATAGACTGTCTCTCAGTATATTTGGCACGAATAACTATCATTAGATTATAAATCTCTCTTCAACATGTCACAAGGGTTGACTCCTGAAAAATCAGTAAATTCATTTCTAAAGATTTTTTTTTAATTAATCCTGTACTGCACAACCGAACATCCATGTCCTTCCAAGATTGTGCAAAAGGCACACAAATGACTAGCACCTTTTATTACAAATTTAGAATTAGATTAGTTCCGGATAATGAATTAAACTGCATAATACAGCTGTTTCTCGAGTCGAGGTTTCGTCAGTGATGCAGTGGTCATACGAGGAATTGACTGAGGGTAATCTAAATCGACCAAAAATGTTAAAATCTAGATGAGGAAGGTATAAAATGAATAACTATGTTCACTGCTAAGTAAATTCTCCTATAACAGAGATGAAAGATGTACATTATATGGTTCACAGATTGATTCTAACCTATATTAAATGTTTTGCGTTGCAGCTGATTGAGAGAAATTTCCAATCTTTTTTCTCAATGGTCCTTCCGGGTAGTGGTACTACCTAATGCCACGTGTTAGAGGTGAAAACAAATACTGATTGATGGAGTAATAGAGGTGATGTTCCGGTAAATGGGACCGCCTTTCACAACCATCTCAGTCACAGAATGGGCGGTCTCCTTCACTCGCTGAAGGTTCCAATTAACACAGAAACACATGTCAAAACACAAAAATAGCGTGGGAGTCCTATCAAATTTCCCGACAGGTTACGAGTCACTAACTTCATGATTGAATTACTTGAGGACTGATTAATATTTGGCCCAACCTTGATATGTTTAAAGTAAGAATGCCAGTAGTTACAAGAGACAATTTCGTGTTGTTAAGATAACTAACTCGTTAAAAGGCACACTCAAATCGGAAGCACGTGTTCCTAAATGCGTGACATTTGACTCCAATTAAAGATGAATATCCGATGCCATGGCCTTGGTAAAAGGCAGAGGATAGCAAAGAGGAGAAGGAGAAAAAAAAAACGAGGAAATACTATGGCCAACCGTAAGTAACTGAAGGCAATTTAACGATCTGCAATGCTGTTTATGACCTCTACAGCAACAAAATATATTGTGTGCATGGCGTTTACAGTGTACATGGCTCCTACAGAATCCTACAGTCCTATAGACAATGCTGAATACTACACTTGATTACTTACTCCCGTAAATGAAAGTGTGTACTGGCACGATAACTAATACTTCAGTCATTGACGAATGGGTGGAAAATAATCCAATTTATTATAAATAATATGATTGCAGAATGAAAAGACGCAAATGCAATCTACAATCACGCAGCGAAAAACTCGGTAGGTCGACATCGTGTTTGTAAGAAATTGGTGATAATTCCATCAGCGACTCTTCATTGGAGGGTCTCGAAATTACGGGCCAAATTACACGACCCGAGTCATTTGATGAATATCAATAGTTGTTATATAGCTGAATTCACCAAAGCTAGCTTGGCTTACAGCTCATCTTGACACGACCGTCAACAGTGATCCAATTTAGCACTAGAGGGAAAATAGAATCCTCCCGATTATGTATTACGTAAAAAAACACCCACGAACATTCATATCAAGAAGCTGTGGTATTGAATACATAACCCATGACCACTGACCTTTACTAGATCGTGCATTTAGTTTCGGTTTAAACACACGAATGATTATTGAAAATTGCACGCGTCTCGTATCTGTGCAGGTACGATCATTCTTAAAACATATTTTTCAAAGTTAATTATGACAACGGTATATATCGAGCCGCACAAATCAACAAATGACCACCAACCTAGTTTGTAATCTGGGAAGGGATAATTTTCCAGATTGGAAATGTTCTCATCAAAGTTACATAAACCACACAAACTGAAATAGATTGTTCGTCTCCCCAGTGTTCTGCCACTAATGGGCAGTGCTGATTGGTTACTTCGCCAGTCAGGCAACCGCCGGGGTCGTACAACTGTTGCATGTTGTCTGATAAGTAAAATGTTTTTGGTATACACTTTCAGCATGAGAATGGACAAATAATTGGTCAAAATGTATATCAGGTCCCATTGCGTCTTGAAATGCTGCTGTCATGTCATTCTCTCTCGATTTCAAAATCTTAAGTTTATAAAGACACATGAAATGTTCCCTCCCATCATCGCAAAACACCTTTTTATTAGTGTGATTTACCTGTGAAAAGCAGTCTCAGCTCTAATGGCAATGAAATGACAAACTAGTATCTCTGTATCAAAACGCTCTTCCATGACGTCTGAGGAAGGTATTGTGTAGCTGTGTCATTAGAGTAGCTTGGCTGTCACTGTAACAGGCGCTGACAGTATTGCAGACGATAAAGACAGGTGTGATATCATCGCCAATCATCGTTTTAACCTATATATCAAACGTCAAGAAATTTCCGCTCGAATTAGATCTGTGTGATAAACAGAAAGATATCAGCTCTTACAACTTGTGGATGGTTATATATAGTCTAAACGGCCCGTCCTGGACCGCGTGGCTGATACATACGTACAATACCAACGCTTAGCTCTCAGCTATACAGTCGATATTTGCAAATGAAAACTCCCTTTTCACGTTTGAACGCCCATATCCCATACATGCGTGAGGTATAGAAAACTGATGTTACAGTGTCGTGGCGTGGGCAAAATACAAGCGATAAGTCGGCACAGCTATTACATCTCCGATCAGCTTGGATTTACTCTCAAAAACAGGATTCCACTTTTTATCTTTTCTCAAGATTGGTATGACTTTTTAATCCTTGAAATCAACGACAAATATTGAAAATAGTATATATTTTGCTTGTAGAAAACTTATATAATGGCAAAACATGGATTCGCGTGTTTTTAATAGGGGACGACGGAAGATCGCGCTGTGTTGTGTGCTAGAACTACATGGATAATTATGTGATTATAAAGCATATGAAGTTGTTCTACGTTAATTTAAAATGACTGCGGAGTGGTGTGTGGAATTGAAGTTGCTGTCTGTCGCTTTCATCGGATTATTCTCATCTCTCATACTGGGGTTTCTGTCCAGTACAAGTGGTATGTAACAACTCACATTATTGTTTTTTTCTTTTGTTTTGTAGTTTTACTATAATTCTATTTAACTGCACCTACTGTAAATTGAATATCACATTTTCAACGTCTGTTAAAAGTCAAACCTCAGTAATCAGTAAAAGAATGCTATAATGTATTTGAGCGGAACAGATCGGCGAAGGAGATCTTAGTGCCTTATGCAAGAGACCAGAGTGCCGAGACACTTAAAACCAAGTATACTTTTGAATTTCTTAAAAGCAGCTTATCCTGGCCAAAACAAATTTGATTACAATCTACCAAAATAAGTGACCAATTACTTCTACACTGTGTATCACTGTCCATTGATAAAGGTAATGCTATTAACAGACATTACCACGAGTGACCAGTGACGTGTATTATGATGCCTTATCATTCCTTCTTATACTGACCACGCTTCACATGATTGAATACAATTTATTTTTTGTTACATACCTTTGCCAATGAGTTTAACACCGTTAATATAAAGAATTGTCGAGATTTACTATCTCCTTTTAAATTAATAAGGTAAAATTCCTTCACCTCCTCCGTTGTAACTCGCGTGGTTGGCCCTGTCTCCAGGATAGTAGACACAACGCAGTATCATTTCTAGTCCGCTTCCAGTCGTCATCCTAACATTATCACGCACAAAAATGAACATTCTATTATAAATCCCTTTTCAAGTACTGACGGAATTGTGCATTCAATTAATAAAATCAATGAATTAAGAAGACAAATAACTTATCAAATTTCTTTTTATTTAACTGTGAAAATAAAAATTGAAGATAATATACACGTACTCACAGACTGCTTTGTGATTTGTATGTTTAACAAAAATTTAATTGTTTAACAATGAAGCACTTGATATATGCTTTCGGAAATTGCCCAAATAAAGCCAGTTAAATCCTTGAGTGTTAATATAGAGTAAAATTCTAGTTGTTCCGATGGATTTTGCAGCAATCAACGCTAGATAAAACCTGAAGTTCAAGATAACTAACCATTGATAAAGACACATTCCTCTTGCCTGCCATCACATTGCAGTAGACAAAACAGTAACAGTACCGTACTTTTTGATAGTGTAATAAAACGGTGGGTGGTGATGTGAGTTTTTTTTATTGTTATGATACCAGGATCTCTTTGAACCAAACTGTAGAACAGACTTTCTTGACAACACCTTTTTTCGCCATTCTTTCATCAAAGAAACTATAACATGAGCAATTGTTTTGAGATAATTTATTGAGCTGTGTTAAATGAGACAAGTTGGTCTTAAATCGGGAACAGCACATTGGAATGATTCATGTGGAGTGTTTGTTTTGAGTGTTAACGCTGCTGTTTCACACCTTGAATGAATTAACTCTAACGTTTCTGGCTTTAAGTGTCCTCTGGAGATTCTGGGCGATATACGGATCGATGTTGTCGTGTCCGCGACCAGAGGACAAGTATGTTGAGTAGAACTTGTTCGTCCGTCTACAGATTCTGTGTGTCTTCATGATGTTGACAATAACATAAACACAGCTGTTCTACACTTAGCATACATGTACACAGTGCTGCTAGTCTGAGAATATATTATCGACAGCTGTGGCAGGCCTACTTAGGTTTTAATATAAACTTAGCAATATTTATCTCTAAACACTGATAAGATGGTTTTTTTTATTAGATCAGGTGACTAGTTGAATTATGATGAATATACATATATTTTTTTCAAAGATATGTTGTAATAACTAGTACTCAGTGTTGCAGGTGTGTCATTGAAAGCCGCGAAGTCCTGATGCATGAACCCTTGCTAAACATGTCGGATATTTTTTCCCCCTTGATTTTATTTTTGTATTGATAGATAAAATGCAGTAACAGTATAGTATCACTGATGACATGAAGGAAACTGATTTTAAACAAATTGTTAAAAAAATAAAAATAAATGAAATATATTTCAGGTTTTAGTAAATACTGTTTAATCACGTTTTTCGGAATAATTATAATGTAATATAATTACGTTAAGAAATACACCTAGCTACGTTAAGATTAGCTCGGCACAGTCGGAACTGGTTCAAGTCTTTTATTAATCAAGATTTTGCTTTCTATGTGAATCTGCTCTCCTCCGCCTTCGAGGCCATTAGACGGCGGGAGCTCGCGCTACGCCTAGCAGTCCCAGACTCCCATATCAATGATTCAACTCCAAATCAAATGTGGATACAAATAATTAATTTGACGTATCTTAGTCTCGAGGCTGAGGTCAAGTGGCCATCTGCTTAATTTCCTAACAATCGCGGTTTTCGCTGTGATTGTACAAAAAACACGTACGTGGATAGCTCGATACAATTTAGTATTTGACAGAGAAGAGATAAAGTTTATTGTTTTATTGATGATATCTTATTTTATTTAATTTTTTTTTTTTTCTATTTACCTGTCGTCATTGAGTAACCTATTTTTTTATCAAGCTGTTTCTATGTATTTTAATGAAATGCACGTTAGACGGACATTAAATCCACATCAAAGAGATTGTACTGATTAATTGTCCGTGTTCTCGTTCTGATACTACCCTTGACAGCCCTTTAAAGTCCATTTCGATTTTACTTTGTCTACTAATGTAATGAAAAAAACTGATATATAATATAACGGTTTTACATTCGTCTTTCGGGGGTATATTGTGAATATGATATGTCAAACAGAATATATTTACAAATATCTTGTCCTGGACTATCTAGATATAAATTAGGCTTCAGGACTAAAATTATAACTAAAAGTCCTAAAATCAAATAAAATTTATTTTCCAAGATTTTTTTTTATTTCATAAAGAAATGTAAGGCTAATTATGATAGATAATATCTAATAGACTTAACATTTAAAACAATGGTCTTTGGTCCAATATCACAAAGGAAGGTCATAGGAGTAAATGTAACAGATAAAGATGAAAGACTTCAAATTTTGGGACTGAAGGTTATAAATATTCTATTTTTTTTTTTGATCAATTAAGTTTTATTACAAGTGAACAATACATATCCTTTGACGTGATATTATGAACAAAAGTTTTTTTCCCTCAAGTAATGTCATCATTTTTAGGTTTTCTCTTATTTTACTTTATTAAACTAAAAATAAATGGAAACATATTTGGACTAAATGATTAAGATATGGATAATAAAAGCATTTTCCTGTACCGTTTCAGAATACATGGTTTGATTCTGCTTGTACGTTTTGCCGGATACCCAATGTAAATCAAAGTGTAAGGAAATCTATGTTACATATATATGACGATGTATGCAGATAAAGAGGCCAATATAACAACAAGATGTCAACAAAATACAAAGTCAAATTCAATAAAGTAGACCAAAATACTAGCATAAGAAAAAATACACAGAGACTCCTTAAAAAGGACAAAGTGAATAGGACCAATAGTTCCAGGAGGGTAAGCGTCTTCTGTTTCCTTGATTTATTTCATTGAGATCTTTATGAAAAACGTAAAATGCCCATAATGTTAATATAATTGCGTCTCTTGTGTTATGAGTTTGATTGTCACTTAACGACATGGGAACCAGGACCTTGGATATCATCGAATCCACCACAAATCGTAAAACACAGTAAGTTGGAGATGCAGGATGTTACTATTCAGAAGAAGAAAATTCACAATAGGGAAACTGAAAATTGAAACCAAAAGTCCTGCCACGCAACTTTGTGGCAATTTGTCGAAATTGAGACGTCAATAAAATGTAAGCACGGCGAAATTAAACACCTAAAAGATTTACGTTTTGAGAAGGTCAATCAGTCTGAATACTGTATATTTTATTTCCGTTAAGATGTCGATCTTCCTGATATTTCACAGTGAAGCCTAGCGGTAGAAGACAAACTACGGCAGGCTATCCAGTTAATGATGACAGGGTATGATAGATAAACGTTCAGTTCAATATGCATATTTTCAGTACTTTTCTTAGATGTTGAGTACACAAAAATCGAAATTTTGATATCTATTTCAACCCATTTTGATTTCCATCAGTTGTCCCCACATCACTGACGAGTCCTAGAATGACGAAACAGTGTATGATGCAAGTTCCATTAGAACATATACTGTATTCATAATTCTACATTCAAATTGAAAAGCGCTGTTCACATTGATTCATCGTTTTGTAAATCTCAAAACTATCTATATAACTATTGTGTTTAGAAAGAAATCACCCTATTATTTATTTATTTTCTCAATGAGATCTTTATGAGAAACCAATAACTCGGTGAATGTTGTCAAAATTGTTAGGTAGGCGCTATGACAAAGCTCTCCTTACCTGTCATTAGACTCGATATTCATATATTAAGAATGTGCATTCAATGAAAAAAAAAAACGATATTATATGAACTTTCCATAACTTTAATTATTTCATGAATGTGCTGATTTGTTTTATTAAGTCTAAACGCCAAAATTCCAGTTTATTATTACCTTAGTGTGATTAAGGAGTATTATTTCAAAGTGATATAGGAACGACATTTCAGTAAAATGTACACTGAGAACAGCACCACAGAGAGTACTAATAGAACATTGAAGAGTCTAAACCGGCTGTTTACTGGTTCAGTATTTGGTCAGTTAAATTTATTATATATCCGTTAGCACCATTTTATCTACCATGGACCCTGTATCCTGACTGTTTTGAGGGACCATTAAGTAAACAATAGTAACGGCAATAATTATATAGATTTTTGATATCGTTTAGAATAATATGGCTTTGTATTCTGACTATGCAGGAAACAACTTGACCAGTACTTCTATATATGAAGCTTTTCATATGGAGAGTTTACAAAGGCATTGATTTCACTGGAATTTCGCTGTAATTATTTCATTGTTGACATATTAGCATACTTATGAAACATTAACAAGAAGAAGATGTAGAAACGGATAACGTAGGGTGACAGAGATGTGTGAAGTTCTGTCCATAAATATTTAGGCTGGACATAACTGCCGAACTGATCGCCTTATCAGTAAGTGGTCTTGACTTTCGTGTATAAAAGATGAC